TAGTTTTCCCCATTGAATGACATTAGGAAACGGACATCTGTCGATCATAAGATAATTTTTTAGGTAAATTAACCGAGCACGCGCACTTTTATCGCCCTTTTTAAAAATCATTAGGGTCTAAAAGTTCTATAAAAGCCATTTAATATGTATTATTATTATTATTTTATCTCTCCATTCAAGTAAGATTGGTCTTGACCCAGCGGATCGGAGGCGGGGCTTAGCAAAACCAGTTCTCTAGTCTGTATACATCCATGATCTAAGGAGCACTTGAATGCACCATCGGCCATGTTGGAGGCCTCTGCTCTCCCAGTGCCAATATCTTACATATTGTTGGGAAAATATTTGTAATAAATAGATGGAGTTTGTCTTTAAAGTGCCTAAAATGAAGTAGTGTTTGAGAAGTTCTCCTGTATCGTGTCCAGTTCTCTCTGTAGTGATATCATGGCATCAGCAGTATCACACATCGAGCCACAGAGAGAGAGGGAGATGCTCAGTGGAGCGTTAACGTCCCAACTGGTGCTTTCTCTGCCAACCACTGGGCTGTGTGTGTGTGCGTGTGCGTGTGCGTGTGCGTGTGCGTGTGTGTGTGTGTGTGTGTGTGTGTGTGTGTGTGTGTGTTGGGATGCAGTCGAGCCCCCTGAGGTAAGTGATCCTGCTGAACAGGTGTTACAGTATCACCTGCCCCCCATACACCCACCCACCCACAAACTCTAACACACACACACACACATATCAGAGCCTCTGTCAGCCGTGACTGATCTGAACGGATCTGCTTGCTTCACGCCAGACGGATGAAGCCAAGCCACCAGCTGATCCACCAGTGTGTGTGTGTGTGTCCATGCATCATGTATATGTTTGTTAACGCATGCATAACTGTCGAATCCAACATATCAACAGCCACATACATGTTTTTACCAGTCTATCTCCATTACGGTGGATTGATTAAACGTGTGGATGTTCTACCGTTAATGGTTTGATCTCAGCAGATACATCGTTAAATACTTGCAGCCAAAACTGATATTATTCAGATTTTGATAATTATGTATATATCTGTGATCAGTCTGTCTACCTCTCTCCATCACAGGCCAGCAGACAGAGTGTACAGAACGCAGCCTGGAAAGTGTGAAGCCCACCAAGGACAGATGGAGGGAGGACAGGTGTCTCTGCTGCCAGCATGCTCAGACTGAGCTCACATCTACATTCTGTGTGTTTAATGTGTGTGTATGTATACATTAGTGGCTATATCCTGCATGGTCGTCAATGTACAACTTTTGTTCAGGCCTTTTTGAATTCAGTTATGTATTTTCTGGATCTTGACTCTATTGCTCACACAAGAGACAGACTTTCCCCTGGTCCAAACTAAAATCTGCTTGTCTCATTTTTGGATATCACTAATGACAAATACATCTTGTGGACAGACTCTAGTTCTTCTGATATTAATGCAGGGATCAAATGTAAATGTGTTTGTATCATGTACTCGTCCACCTCCATCACAGGTTGGACTGTCCTTCTTCTAAATAAATATATACCTGTTCGTGTTGCACTTGCTTCTGCAATATGTATATATCTCTTAATATTCACACCACAGTAAAGGATAGAAAGGCGTGTCAATTAACTTTAGCTAATTTTCAAAGAAGTCTAACCTTTGTTTTAATATATATATATATGTGTGTATATGTGTCGATAAACAAGATGTTTGTAAATGTCTGGACAGGTTTAGTAACAAAGAAGTCAAAGTGGAAACCGTGTCGTCAGCAGGACACCACGTGCTGTACGAAAAGGGCCGAGTGACACGAGTTGAATTTGGAAAGTTTGTCTCAAATCTTCATGTGTGTAAAGTGAAAATGTGTAAGCGCAGGATAGAGATCCACAACTTAAAAATGTAATTTGTAAATTGAGAGAAATGCTTTGGATGTAGTTGTAAGTCACTTAAAGGTTTACACAGATTGTTTGCAGACCTGTTTTGTATTTGCAAAATATGTTTTTCCATCTTTTATTATTTTTTGGAAGATGTTTCCAGACTCCACATTTGCACACGGACTGTCGATCTGTCCACACAAATAATATTGAGACACATCTATCTTCATACATCTTGGAAATACTATGTCCCCGAGCAACATAATAAGCCTAAACAGCACAAAACATGATGGATTCAAACTGTTTTTCTGGCTAAACAAGCGGAAATGGATTTAAAGCCAGACCGCTTACTCCAATTTCTAAAGACTGACCTGTCCTGACAATAAAAGCCTGTTTCCACTGCAGGAAGAGCCACAGACCGCCCATATATGGTCAGAGAGCGAGAGAGAGAGAGAGAGAGAGAGAGAGAGAGAGAGAGAGAGAGAGAGAGAAGAGAGAGAGAGAGAGAGAGATAGCAGCAGAGACGAGAGAGAGAGTGAGATAGAGAATGGATGTAGTAGATAGATATACGCGATAGAGCGAGAGAGGGAGCGATCGAGCTGATCCGAGAGATCTATCTAGGCATAGAGATCGGACAGATAGACTAATTTCCTCTCCCTTCTGGTTGCATGGTGCTTAAGCCTTCATAATGCTGACATCAGCACTCAGTACCGACTACACACACACACAGACAAACACATATACACACACACACACACACACACAAACACACACACAGGTCAATAGCAAAGTGATGTATTCAGAATGCATCTTAATCAGCATCACTGTGATTGTGATTGCTGGTGTCATGACAACCGCCATCATCCACAACATGGTGTTTTCTCTCCGTCAGGTGAGCCTGAGGCCAGCAACGAATTCACATCATGTATTATGTCATGTAGCAAACAACACACACGGAAACACACACACACACACACACGGAAACACAAACACACACACACACGGAAACACACACACACACACACGGAAACACAAACACACACACACACGGAAACACACACACTTTTTTTTGTCCAGCACTTCTGAAAAACTCAGAAATAGTCAGAAATATATAATGTCACCTTAATCTCTGACAATTTGGGAAAAGCTTTTAAAAAAATTACATTTCTTAATATAAGGAAGACCAATCTGCCGTGGTCGGAGAAGTCACTAAAAGTCTAAATATACTCTGTTAAAAGTAAAAAATATAAATATACTCACAGTATGAACAGTAAGAGCATACTATATACAAAGTACTTGGATCAAAATATACTTTAACGACTACCTCAAATGGAGATTAGTCTATGTCAGAATAATCTATATTTGACACTGGACTATAATTAATGAAGCATCAGAGTCACTTTAATGTTGCAGCTTGTAAAGATGGCGCTAATCTGCATTGCTTTATATAATTAATAATTAAAACACGACTTATGAGATCACAAATTATTACTTTATTTACTTTAAATGTAGTGTAATTGGCAACTAGTGGAGTAGAGGTATACAGTTAGATCAAATGGAAATATTTTAGTAAATACTATGTTGAAAAATTGTAAAAAAACGACATGTGCCCTCCAATGGAGCAACAAATAGATCTGAGCCACCAGACTTTGGGACATGCTTGTACTGATACATGTGCAGATATTTATACTTTATAGATCTGTGCTTTCTGTATAATTGTTAGTATGTAATGTTTGTTGATTGTTATGTGCCTCGGGCCTACAGACGGAACTGAGCTAAAAGCAAATATATGTCATGAATCATCTTCTTGAGAATAATGTGTTTAAACACGGTGACCTGACCCCGTTTATAACCTGACACCAACCTGTATTTGACAGATGCTCATCTCATTCCCATGTTCTCAAACACGTGTACCACATGCACCGTCTCACAAGAGGCATTGAATAAGAGTGTCAGCTAAATCATATGTAATGAAATACAATCGAATGCGGAGTAAAAAGTACATTTTCCTCCGAAATATATTGGGATAGAAATATAACATGGAAATATTCGGGTAAAGTGCAAGGGCCTCCAACATGTACTTGAGTACTTAGTTACATTCAACCACCATTTTTTTTACATTTAGCCTCTATAAGGAAGTCGATGAAACATGTTTTTGCAAACACATCATGTATCATCTCCCAACATTGCAAAACACAACACTGCACGAAGAGCTGAGACACACCACACAATGCCATGAAATGAAAAATAAAAATCACCAAACACAAACACACTTCTCCACTATAGGCCACACCTCACACACACTCACACACACACAGACACAGACACACACACACAGGCACACACACACGGTTGTCTTCGCTATTATATTCATTAACTATGTGCTATAGGGGCAGAAACCTGAGTTTCCAGCATACACCGTTTTTTTAAACACTTCATGTAACATCTCACACTGTTTATACAAGTCGCCTCGAATAAACGTGTCAGCTACTGTAAATGGCATTTAACGTAATTAATCTGGATTAATACTAATAATTAAGTAACTTTGATCAAATACATGTGAAGAAGAAACTACATTTCCCTCTGAAATTCAGTGGGAATAGAAGAAGCATAGAAAAGTGAACAAGCCTCAAAAATGTACTTGAGTACTCACACACTTACATTCAACCACCAATTACTTTTTTGCAAACACATCATGTCACATCTCACAACATTGCAAAACACAACACTGCAGAAAATAAAAATACATTACATAAAATGCAAACACACCACAACAAACACAACTTCCACCCTGCACTAGGCCACACCTCACACACACTCTCTCACACACACACACACACACACACACCACACACACACACACACACACACACACACACACACACCACACACACACACACCACACACACACACACACAACACACACACACACACACACACACACACACACACACACACACACACACACACACACACACACACACACACACACACACACACACACACACACACACACACACACACACACACACACACACACACACACACACACACACACACACACACACACACACACACACACACACACACACACACACACACAGGTACCTTGTCTCGTGAGTGTTTCTCTTATGAAAGGATATGGCCATTCGGTGATCTTTTTGGCGTACTTCCTGATCAGGTTGTCTTCGCTGAAGAGGAAGAGGGAGCGGTTGACCGTAAGGCAGCTCTGCCGGACGGGGATCGGGTTGTACAGAGCCATGGTCCGGGCTCTCTGGGCCATCGACTGCTTGTACACCCGCTGCCCTGCGGGGGGGCCCCCCCTGCCTGCTTCCACCGCGACCGGGCCCCCCTTGTCCGCCGGCACCCCCGCCACCGCCACCACCACCTCCTCCTCCTCCTCCTCCTCCTCCATACCTGTTGGGAAGCTCGTCTCCAAAACGCGCCATTCTGCAGACACCAAACGCCAGAGGTTAGGAAGGAGCCGGGGGGGAACCTCAGAGTGACACCTCCACATGCCACCACCCCATCATCTCCAAACACACATGCAGAATGGAGTCCTGATAGCTCTGTTTCCTTCTCCTCTTATCTATAGCTATCTGTTCTGAGTCTCCTTCCCCAAGATCTTCAGCGCCGAGAAGATACCTCCATTTGTGAGTGGAGAGGAAAGGGGGGGGGGGTGGGAGAGAGGATGGTGGGGGGGTGAGAAAGAGAGAGGGAAAGGTGTCTCTATCGTGTGTTTGGAATATGAATGTGTGTTTATGTAATTTCTGAGGAGGCAGAAAAATAAACACGATGGTTTTTTTGGGGGGGCAAAAATGTTCTTGTCTTGTCAGCGTTTCCTCTCCGTCGAAAATGTTATATTTTTCTGTCGGGAAAAACCTCTCTCCAAGATATTTGGTTGCATCTCAACAGGAAAACACCTTTAAATCATGCGATAAGGAAGCATAGCTTTCAGTAAATATTGCTCTCATCCCCACTGCCCCCCTACAGCTGGAGACTGCGTCTTTTTCCCTCTCAACCAGCCTAGTGCATCTTGACAGGATCTGCAGTTTTCTCCTCCCCAGGTCCCCCTTTTTTTTCCTGCGAGATAAAAATAGAAATAGATAAGAGTAAAATCTTTAATAATTCATTTGTTCGTGTGCCGTATATCCGCACTGTTAGCTGGGGCAGATCTCCCCTCTCACTGCCACGCCGCGCGGGTTACACGCCAACAGAGGGGGGCTTCCCCAAAATCCGAGCCTGGTGACATTTGTTGATATTTGGTGATGGACGGTGCGGCATCCCCCCCTTCCTCCTCCACCTTCCTCTTCCTCTTCCTCTTCCTCTCCCTCCTCCTCCTCACCAAGGCGTCGGTCACTGATTTTGGGCGTGATTGCGCGCACTTGGAGACGAAAATACACCTTCAACTTACCAATTTATGTATCTCTTGCTAACTTTCCCTCCCCCCAAAAAAAAGAAATGTTGATGAAATAAAAAAATTATCTATAATCCAAGGTTGGGAGAAGAAGATGAAGAAGAAGAATCCCGCACGAGTAGGATCCGGAGGAGCAGCAAAAGACCACTGGGGGAGGCAGCACCATCATCACCACCATCAATTCTGGCACGCGAAATAAAACGGCAGCGGTGTGTTGGAGCTCGCATCTTCTCCGCCTGCGGGAAACCGTGCACCTTCCCCGCCCAAAAGCATCAGCAGCATCGCCCCCGAAGAACCAGAGAGAGGCTTCAGCAAGTCCAGCTTCTCCTGCTCTCTCTAAAGCTCTAAAGCTCTCTGTTTTTCTTCCCTCGACCCCCCAGGGGGACGTGAACCAACACGCAGTGGGTCCGGAGGCTGTGTATTCCCAGACTGGGAAACGAAAGAAAAACCCGACGATAGGAGAGCTTTTTTTTTTTCTCCTCTCTCCGGGCTCTCTTGCGTTCAGTCAGCCGTCGGGGGTGAGCCGCGCGCGCTGAGCATCTGATCAGTCTGACGGGAACCGAGCGACGCGCGCACATCCGTGGCCAAGCCTTGCAGCGCGCGACGCACGGCGCCTCGCGGGTGCCTCCCCCTCTCCAACCCACTCCCCAAAGCGCACCGCGGAGATGTTTGAGTTGGATAGGTGAGGAGCGGCGGGGAGAATCAGTGACTCTTCGTCTTAAAACTCGACCAACCTTTGATTATAGATGGACTTTCATTTTCTTTGGCTTCATCCACTCACTCCACATTTGTTTTCGCGGGGAAATGAGCCAGATGTAGTCCTCTGTTCTCTCTACTGCTTTAACTGGTCGCTTTCTTTCTATATGTGTGTGTGTACTGTATTGTGAGCCTCTGTGTTTCTTATGATTACTTTTTATTTATTTTATATCAAAATCCTTTTTAAATGTTGACATTGCAACAGCTTGGCTAACTTAATTGCATTATGTGAACTGTCCCTGTTTAATAAACCAATAAATAAAATGGTTTTGATAATAATAAATACAAAATAACAAAGAAAATAAAGCACAATCACGCCTATAATCAGTGACTGAATTCTTGGTCTGAGGAAGCGGATGAGGTGCACCACCAACCATTAAAAACCATCACCAAATACCCCCTCTGTTGGCTGGCGAAGGTGCTAACATGCTTCCTTAGACACAACACTTCCAATCTGATGAAAAAGCCGAAAGACATTGACCTGAGTTCCTTATTGTCCGGTTATCCGGCCTGATACGCTTTGATGTCCTCACCCATCAGAAGGCCTGCATGGACCTGGTCTCCACTGATGTTTGATGTGAGCTGGACTCAGCTGATGGGCTTAGTGAGAGGAGACGCTGATAGGACTATAACGTTGGCCAAGAGTCAGAAGCACCAACAGCACTCTCCTATTAACCCGTCACTAAACGAGCAAGGGCAGCAGAAGGCTTGCCATGAGGGGAGGGGGGGACGGGTCGTAGAGAGGACACTGCAAATCAAAATGTTTAAACTAACATGTATATCGTGTGTGATTGGTGTCGTGTCCTAGTGTTAAATGTTGTCATGCGAGTTCGATGTGTTTGACCTTTTGTTTGTCTTTGTAAAGCGCCTTTGAGATTATCATTTTAAAACTGCACATCTATTTCACTTGGAAATCCAGTTTGAGTGTACATACTTACACTCATATGTGTAGTAACTTGAGTAGAGTAACTTGTCATGTTCTTGTACTTATTGAGTTAGTTTTTAAAATAGTTATTAGATATACAAATATACATCTTCTTACTGTGTTGATGTTAGCACCATTATACACCAAAGCACGTTCCTTGTATGTTTACTCGACAATAAACATGCTTCTGATTCTAAAATGTGGATTACATGATGGTGAAGAAAGTATTTGACCACCTTTTGGATGTTAGCGGATCTTCTCAGCAAAACAAGAGCTGTGTTATTTCAGGACATTTTGGAGAGTGTTCATGTATGATTCTTTTCAGATCAATAGTTCCATTTCCCCTCCTTGTATCTCCTGTCTGACGGGACAGGCTGTTACAGTATGTAACCGGGTCTGAAGCCACATTTAACAACAGAATCTGCTGAAATGAGATTCCTTTGGTGAAATTCATAAAAAGTGCCGTTTTATTCGGCTTGATTTTGAGCTTTTTGTAGATTTTTCTCCATAAAAAAAAGATGTTGCCAATAAAGTAAGTTGGACCACGGTTGCCTCCGTGCAGCCAGGAGGAGAGTTTGGGGAGTTTGAGGACGTACTGTTATTTTGAGGACGATTTGAAAGCGTTTTTTTTATCTCCCTTCATTCCTCCCTTCTCCTCCAAGCCGTCTGTCAGTCTGGCGCTGGCATCTGAGTCCTCTTTGATGCGGTTCAGCAAGCTGTGTGCATGGGCTAAACCCGGCAAGCTGTCACCTCTCCAGAGCCGCCAAATGAAGGTGGAAATATGGAGAGGAGAGCAACATAAAAACACACTAGACAGAGAATCCCTTTCAAATGGGCTCTTTGAGGTATTCTTAACCGTTACATAATGAAAATAGGAACCAAAAATGAGTTAAAAACAGAGATGGCAAAAGTACACACATCCTTTACTCAAGTAGAAGTACAGATACTCGTGTTTAAAAATACTCTGGTGAAAGTAGAAGTACTGACTAAACTTCTTTACTCAAGTAAAAGTAAAGAGGGCTTTGAAATGTACTTCAGTAAAAAGTACCCATAACTAGCAGCTGTTTTAAAGAGTACCTGACCTCCCTTTATATTAATAGAACAATAATGTCATTGTTAGCTAATGAATGTTTCCATGCTGAACAACGGCAACATGACAACGTTTTCATTGGTCCCTCTTCTTTAGAGAAGACCAGGAAGTGATGGATACACGGATCGTGTTCAAATCAATAGGCACGCAATGACTCTAAATAATAATGATCACGCCACCAAACACACATTCAAACTAAAGGAACCAGCCTGTTTGGAAAATGTGAGAAGTAGAAAGTACAGGTATTTGGGTTCAACATGTAAGAAGTAGAAAGTACAGGTATTTGAGTTCAAAATGTAAGAAGTAGAAAGTACAGGTATTTGGGTTCAACATGTAAGAAGTAGAAAGTACAGGTATTTGTGTTCAACATGTAAGAAGTAGAAAGTACAGGTATTTGTGTTCAAAATGTAAGAAGTAGAAAGTACAGGTATTTGTGTTCAATATGTAAGAAGTAGAAAGTACAGGTATTTGTGTTCAACATGTAAGAAGTCAAAGTAAAAAGTGGTCATAAAAATAAGTCGTGGAGTAAAGTACTGATACCAGAAAAATGTACTTACGTACAGTAACGAAGTATTTGTACTCCACTACTTCCCACCTCTGTATGTCTGCTTTAAAGGTCCCATGTCATGGCCATTTCTACTGATCATAATTCCATTGTTGAGGTCTACTAGAATATATTTATATTGTGCAATGTTCCAAACTCACATTGGTTCCTCATACAGCATCTCTGTAAAGTATGTGTATTCACTCTCTGTCCTAAATGGCTTGTTGGAGCTCCTCCCCCCCCCCCCCCTATGAGCCCAGTGGCCGTCTGCGAGACAGCGAGACACAGCGAAACCCAGCCCGAAACACACACACACCCGCAGCCTGGCTGGGAGTTTGTGTGTGTGCCCAGGCTGAGTTCCACGGTGTCTCGCTGTCTCGCCGACCCCACACCAGTGAGCCAGCTCACAGTGTCCCGCTTCTCACAGCAGCGAGCCTCGCAACGTCCCGCTGAGTGTGTGTGTGTGTGAGGAAGTCCGCGGATTGGTCCAAACGTAACGGCTCCGCGGACGAGCCGTTACGTTTGCCCGTTACGTTACATCACTATACCCAAGAAGTAAACAATGGAAAAAGAGAAATCTCCAACGAGGCGTTCTGGGGCAGCATAGACAGGTCTTCTCTGTGTTAGAGTTTTACTCGCTACAGGGTGTACTTTGAGGGTTTGTGACTCTGCAGACCGTTTACATGCAGAAAAACCTTCATAACACACAAGGGGACGG